TGGTGGCAGGGAGACCAGCAGACGTTTGAAAGGAAGAACTACAGCAGATGTGTTGTGGTGTGTGTGTGTGTGTGTGTGTGTGTGTGTGTGTGTGTGTGTGTGTGTGTGTGTGTATTAGATGAGAGAAGCCAGAGATCCAGAAATAAGTGAGGAGAGAAATTAGAGTATTGTGGAGAGGGATAGGTTGAGGGATGCTCACAGATCCAAGAAGACAGAAGATAAAAGAAGCAGGAACAGCAGGGCGACTCTGACGACCAGAGTTCGTGTCCCAGGACCCATACAGTGGAAGGAAAGAACTGACTCTTACAAGTTGTCCTCTGACCCCTACCCCCTCAATAGACAAGGAAACAAAGAAACAGGTAATGTGAAAACAAAGGAGAGGAAGCAGAAGAGCAGTGGAGAAGATGATGTGACACAGAGAGATTCACCTGGCTTTCCTCCCAGGGTGACTTCCAGCCTCACATCTGGAAAGGGTAGATAGGGGCCCATGGGGCTCTGGGGCCAAGATCAACCCGCCAAAACCTCATTACCGATGGCCAATAATGGGTCCTTGTGGGAGCCAAGTGTGGTCCCAATGTCCTGACCCAGGGAGAGATCAAAGTGGGGAGTCTTGTAATTGCTCCCCCAGTCCCTCTGTGTCAGAGCTCTCTACGGATCTGGGTAGAGGAGTTAAACTCATCCTACACTGAACACAGTCTGGATAATTTGCTATTTCCCCTGCTGCTGAGCCCAGGAGCCTCATGCACACTGTGCACCCTTGGTGGTGGGAAGACTCTATCTACTCCATGATGAGGATGTGGAGCCATGGAGTCGCTATGCGGTAAAGGAGGAGGTGAGGAATTTCTGTGAGGTGAGTCTGTTAAGGTTTCAGATTCTTGAGGGAGACCCACAGGGAATCAGTGAGATGTTCTGTGATTCAGAGAATCTGCTGTACAAAGTGATTTGTGTGCATATAGGGCAGAAAGGTTTCTGGGAATCCCATCTCTCTCCATCTCTCTTCCATTGCAGTCTCGACCCAATATTCACAGGACAGGAATGTACGAATTTCTCATGATTGACTTCCTTCCATGTACCTGTGGCTTCAGTGGGTTTGTAACTACTGGAAGACTCGGATATTTGCGAATCTCAGGTCCAGCCATGGTCTCTCTTCTAAGTCCTGGGCTCATCTACTCAAGTGATTGGTAGATGATACTAGTGTAGAGATCACACAAGGGCCTAAGAAATGGAATACTTAAGAGGTATTGCATACCTCTATTTCTTGCACTTGGCAGGCTGATGCAGTAGGAAAACAAGTTTGGGTCTAGCCTGGGATACATAGCAAGGCCATACAGCAAGATTGTTGAAAAGATGGGAAAAGAGTGGTCTCCAAAAGTCAAAGAGGAGAAAAAGGAGTCAGTTCTCTCTTCTTTAAAGTGAGTGTGAGTTTGTGGTCAAGGGCAAGGGGAATTTTGAGAGTTGCTTATACAACTGTGCATACGGCACTTCCCTAGAACCAAGGTCCACATTCCCACTGAGAGTAGAATCCAGAAGTCTTCTCAGATGTCCCAGTCAATCAGAATGTGTCACCCTGTGGTTGACACATACAATGGCCTTCCAGTCCCACTTGGCAGGGCTGTGGCTGGAGCCACATGCTCATCCTTTCTTTCACTCATCACACCCTGGCCATTGGCTCCCTCTGCCCAGCTATGCTCACTCCCACCATGTGGCCTGGACGCTCACTTATTCTGAGGGTCTATGGGCTCCTGCCTCCAACACCATCTCCCCAGTCTTGATAGACACCTTCCTAATGGCTCCATGTGTATTAACGCACTCTTCAAACAAGTTTGTATGTGATGTGCAGAGACTGTCTGCATCTTATAAATGAGGAAATAGAAGGTTTTTGTTTTTTTTTTTTGGACATGGGCAGAATCAGTACAGAGCAAAGTGATTGTAGAGATTGCCCATCTCAGCCACTCCTTTCCCATCCTTTCAACAAATGGCCTTTGGATACTTCATTACAAGACTTTGAGGTCATCCTAGGATGTATCTGTGAAGGAGTTCTGGAGGGTGGGAGACTGTTGGGGTCTCCTTGAGGTGGTCCTACCAGGAGAGGAACAGGCCAGATTTTTCCCATGAGCACTTTGCTGTCCTAATATCCATTTAATCTGGGCTGTGTAGCAGAGAGAGGCAGAGCTGAGCCAGAGGTGTGATGCACAGCTGTCTTATAACATGGGCTGACCCTGGCCACCGGTGCTGAAGAGAGAGAATGAGGATTATGAAAAGGAGAGGAAGTGGAGGGTGGTGAGAGAGGAGGGGTTGAGGAGAGCAGGAAGAAGAGGGGGAGGAGTGAAGGAGCAGATGAGGGGGGACAGAAGAAGAGGCCTTTAGAGGCAGGGACACTGATGGGGACAGCGAGTCACAGAACTGTAAGGAAGCAGAAGAGTGGAAGAGAGGGAAGAACAGGGTAGGAAGAGAGAGGACGAAAGGCACAAAAGGTAGAGAGACAGGGAAACGTAGAAAGAAGAGAGGAAAGGGGGTGTGACTGAAGGAAGGAAGGAGAGAAGGAAGAAAGGGAGGAGAGGGAGGGGAAGGGAAGATAGGAATGGGGGTGGACAGGGTTTGTGACACAGGATAAGTAGAGTGGAAAGGAAACGTGAGGGACCGAAGTAAAGTGACAGGAAAGATGATCTGCAGGCGTTGTGAGAAGCCAGGGGCACATGTCAGTGGAGGAGGGGAAGGCAACTCTGTGAGAGGGAAAAGGAGAGGAGAGGAGAGGAGAGGGGGCAGGAGAGAAGGGGGGAGGGGAGAGGAGGAGGTGTGCCTCTGACCTGCCTGTGTCCTGGAACCTTTGTATAATATAGTCTCTTTCCAGCAAAACAGAGCAGGGCCTCTTGAGACGTAATCTTGGATCCCAGGCGCAACCTTGGATCTTAACCATGATTGGCACAGAGTGGGAGGCGAGCTGGTGATTTCAGAAGCCGGGGAGAGGAAAGGGAAGAAGGGCAGCAAAAGGCAGCACCAGACGACCCAGTGTGTGGGCCACCCTGGGGTTACGTTTGGGTGTGGGGTCACTGGTCCCCAGAGCTGGCTCGGTCTTCCAACCCCTCTCATACCCCCACCCCACCTGTCAGGGGGCACCCTTCACTATGTAAGATATTTGGGGCTGAAGGACTGAATGACAAATGGTGAGGAGTTGGAGTTAGGGTTAGAATTAGAGGGTTAGGCTTAGAGGTGTGGGGGGGTCCCAGGTCTTGAATATTATTAAGGACCAGCCTTAACAATCTTCTTCCCAGGGGCCCAGAAGAGAAACTATGAATGGCGAGAATTATTTTCGGGAAAAGAATCTAAGTACACCGAGCTCTTCATCTGTCTACTTTACTCCTCTGGGATAAAATTCTGTCTACACAGCTACAGTTGTCTCATGCTTAACTCCGTTCTTGCCTGTTTTATCTCTACATTTATCTGCTGTCCCCTCTAAGTTCTATCTTAATTCTCTCATCTTAGTTCTGCCCCATCTAGGTCTTTCTTATCTCGTTCTTCCCCATCTGACTCTTCCTCATCTTCCATCTCATTCTTCTAGTGCTCCAGTCAAAATCCTCTCCAGTCAAAATCCTCCCTCAGTCTCTGAGGTGTACAGTTCTATACCCATGCAATAGCAGTGCTCTAGCTAAAGCAAGGTCACCAGACTTGAGTTCTTACAAGGTCATAAAGGCAGACAAGAGATTTCCTCAGGCAGTGACCCTCAGGCTTTCCTTTACAACCCAAAAGGGGGGTGGTAAAGGAGGAGGTCAACTAAGAGCTAAAATCGGTTAATGTATCAGAAAAAAAGAATTTTTGTGCTCAAACTACATTCCTAGGGGTGGTTAGGTAAATGTTAGGAGTCTACAATGTTAGTATAAATACCACTAAGGCTGTATAAGAAAAGAGGGTCTGAGCTTAATTTACCTTAATTCAGGAGATCGTTTGGCCTTGGATGCTTGATAAGTATTTCAGATAAAATACACTGTTATGAGTTCTTGGAAGCATGCATAGCATACAAGGAAATCATTGCAGGAATCGGCGGATACATATACAAAAGCTAAAATATCGCCAAGACTTAAGCCATGGCTTGACCTTCGGAGAAGTCCTCGACTTTTCCAAGTAGTAGCTTTTGTGGTAGTGGTTGAACTCCATTACATTTTCCTGCGCCTTATGAGGACTTAGACAAAACCAGCCTGAACGAACCTGGATGTGAATTACGGTGCCAGATGGTGATGTAGAACTATGGAGACCTGGAGAGAAAATGGAAGGGGATGGGTAGGGAAGCAGGGGGAGATGACAGGGAGAGGAAGAGGAAGAGGGAGGATGGAGAAGAGGAGGAGAGAGGATAAAGAAAGAGAAGTGGAGGACAGAGATTGGAGGGAGGGAGAGAAAGGGATGAGGAGGAGAGAGAAGGAAGAGAGAGGTAGATGAAGAGGGAAGGGGTATGAGAGGAGGGAGAAGGGAGACGGGAGGGAGGGGCAGAGGGGAGAAGGCTGGGGATGGAGAAAGGGGAAGAAATGAGGGAGTGAGGGGGAAGAGAGAGGAGAGAGAGGAAGAGAGAGAGAGAGACAGGGAAGAGGGAGGTGACGGGGGCGGGGAAAGAGAGAGAGGTTCTTTTACAAAATGATATAGAAAATATGTTTTAATTAATACTTTATCACCATGATCTTCAGTGTGTGTGTGTGTGTGTGTGTGTGTGTGTGTGTGTGTGTGTGTGTGTGTGTTTCAGGCTCAGGTCATTAGGGTTTTGTCAAAAACCTTTAAGAGGAAAAATTCAGATTCAAAAACTTCCTTCCGTACAACATAGTTTGTGAGCGGCAGAGATAGAAAACAAGTTATTGTCAAAGGAAAGGGAAGGGGTAAACAAGACATAACTTAGATTTGGGGGTGCACAAAGAGAGAGTGAGGAAGAGAAGGGAGGAGCTGGGTTCCCGTCCCCATCCCTGATACTCCTAGCCCAGAGGGGCTGCCATGATCCTGCCATTGTCTCTGTCTCCAGGATGGGCCCAGGAACCCTCAATGATTCAGGAACCCCGGAATTCCTCCTGCTGGGACTATGGGCCCCACCTTCCCTTCGTCCCCTGCTCTGGGCCTCACTTCTCCTGGCCTACCTCGCCACGGTGTTGGGTAATGGTACCCTCGTGGGATTGATAGCTCTGGACAGACGACTGCACCGGCCCATGTACCGCCTGCTGACCCACCTGGCCCTGCTGGATACGGCCTATGTGAGCACCACGCTGCCGCAGGCGCTGGCACACATGACCATGCACCGTGCCCGCCTCTCGCTGGCGCGTTGTGGGGCGCAGCTGTACGTGGGCATCTCCCTGGGTAGCTGCGAGGCCATCCTCTTGGCTGCGATGGCCCTGGACCGCTGCCTGGCTGTGTGCAGACCCCTGCATTATTCGACCCTGGTGACCGCGCCCCGCTGTGCAGCGCTGGCTGGAGCATCCTGGACACTGGGCTTTGTTCTGTCTGTGCCCAATGCGGTGGCCACGCTGCGCCTGCCCTTCTGTCCCGGGAGGCCTGCGGTGGACCACTTCTTCTGTGAGCTGCCCGCGGTGCTGAGGACAGCGTGTGCAGACACCACGGCCAACTACAGGCTGGTCTACGGCCTGGGCGTGCCCATCCTCCTGGTACCCTTGGCCTTCATCCTAGCCTCCTATGCCTGGATTCTGGCAGCGGTGCGCAAGCTGCCTTCGGTGGGGAGTCGCCGAAAGGCCCTGTCTACCTGCAGCTCACACTTGGCGGTGGTAGGGCTCTTCTACGGCACGGTGAGTGCCATGTACCTGCGGCCCCGCGCCTCTAGTGCCCTCCCCGCCAGACATCATAAGCTGGTGGCTGTTTTCTACCTGGTGGTCACACCTGTCCTCAATCCACTCATTTACAGCCTTAGAAACCGTGAGGTCCACATGGCAGCCCTCTATGCCCTGGCCCGGCTTCGGGGGATTCGCACTGTGTTGCACTAAACCTCTTGTGCCGGGAACAGAACTTTCTCTCAGTTCTGGTCCCTTCAAATTCTGTGGGGACATCTTTCTTTTTATTTTACCTTTTTTGTTGATGTTGTTTGTTTTGGTTTTTCGAGACAGGGTTTCTCTGCGTAGCTTTGCGCCTTTCCTGGAACTCACTTTGTAGACCAGGCTGGCCTCGAACTACAGAAATCTGCCTGCCTCTGCCTCCCGAGTGCTGGGATTAAAGGTGTGCGCCTCCACCGCCCGGCTTATTTTACTTTTTTGAGAGAGGGTCTCAGTAGGTAACCCTAGGTGGCCTGGAACTCATTAGGTAGAGCAGACTGGCCTCGAACTCACAGAGATCCACTTGCTTTTGTCCCCTGAGTGCTGGGACTAAATGGGTGTACCCCTACACAGGGCTTTTTTTCTTTTTAATTTTAATGTGATATTTTTTATTGAGCTTTTGATAATTTATGTGACTGTATTTTGATCACATCCATCTCCCATTCCTCCCTTAACTCCTCCCAAATGCACCCCCACCCCCTCCTAACTTAAAAAAAACAGCAAGCTCCCATCTGAGTTCAGTTTGCCTTCTCCAGATACTCATGGATGTGGGGCCATTTAATGGAGCATGGTCGACCTAGCAGGGTTTTGTGCATTCCAGGAAAGCTCTATGATAACTGATAAGAGGTGGACCAGGCCTGTTATCCCAGCACTGGCGAGGCAGAGGCAGGAGGTTTGAAAATTCATTGTTCATCATGACAGCTTTCACACATAAGTTCTCATTCCACTGCATCATACCGCATCCCCAGCCCTGCCAGCACTTTCAAAGAAAGAAGTAGATGACAAATATTTTCAGAGTTGCTTTGGCGTCTTCATTTGTGTTACCGTAAAGAGAGAGAGAAACTACAGATAAAGCCAGAAAGGAACTTGGCGCTGCATCCAGAGAACGATTAGTGGACACTGTTGCCTGGCTACTCCATAATATCCGTGTATCACGGATAAAATCTGGAAGGAGGGTACTAGGAGGGGCTGGAGGGAGCAGAGGGAACGGGACAAGCAATGTAATTTTTATTTTAAGTAAAAATCCATAAAAAATTAAAAAGTTAAATAAAAGTATTTTATACGTGTGTGTGTGTGTGTGTGTGTGTGTGTGTGTGTGTGTGTGTGCCTGAGCGTCTGTATGTGTGCCGTGTGCATGCAATGCCCAAGGAGGCCAAAAGGTACTGGATCCCCGGGAACTGAAGTTACAGGTGGTTGTGAGCACCATGTGGGTGTGGGAATTCAAACCTGGGTCCTTTGCAAGAGCAGTCAGTGGTCTTAACTGTTGAGTCATCTTTCCAGCCCCTTACTTTTTTTTTTTTTTGAGACAAGATTTCTCTGTGTAGCCCCAGCTGTTCTGAAACTCACTCTGTAGAACAGGCTAGTCTCGAACTCAGAACTCAGAGCTCGACCTGCATTTGCCTTCCACTCGAATGCTGGGATTAAAGGCATGCACCATCACTGCCTGGCTTCTTTTACTTTTTTAATTACTTGAAAATGTGAAAATAATTTGTATATAGCAAGGCCATGTTTTTTTTTTTTTTGTTTGTTTTTTAACCAGCCCTGACATCAGGCAAAATATAAGTGCAACAATCTCATTTTCAGAAACCTAAAAGTGGTGGACCAGGCCTGTTATGCCAGCACTAGTGAGGCAGAGGCAGGAGGGTTGAAAATTCATTGTTCACCATGACGGCTTTCACACATATGTTCTCATTCCACTACATCCTATACTTTGACCATAGTCACCATCAAAACCTCTTCTTTCTGCCCCTCCTAGTCTTTTGGTCCTCTGTATTTCTCTGTCCTTAAAACAAGACTAGAAACGCCTTGAATTTTTTTCTCCACTTAATAAACTGTTTGGCTGTAGGTATGTTATAGATCTTTTGGTGTCTTGACACATCTTCTTTCTATTCTGGGTTTTTCCAGGACTTGTATCATAAATGAATGCTGATTAAAAAGTATTTTATTTTTTTGTTATGTGTGTATGTGTGTCTGTGTGTGGGTATGTACACATGAGCGCTGGTGTTTGCAGAACACAGAGGAGAGCATATCTCCTGGAACTGGAGTTACAGGCTTTTGTGAGCTGCCAGATGTGCTGAGAACTGAATTTAGGTCCTCCGCAAGAGCTGTACATGGTCTTAACTACTGAGCCGTCTCTCTAGACACCGCTTTTACTTTTGTAGAGAAACAAATAAACTTCTTGTGCCTGTCACTGTTAGGCTCCTGTTCTCACTCTTCTGGTCTATCATCTTACATCACCGAAGTAAGCCACACATGGACCCCCATGTTCTCTCTCTGCACTCCTCTTTCTGTTGCCTCTCTGCTCTGCTCCCGCCATCTTTCTGCCTCCTCCAGGCCTGGCTCTCTCTCCCCTCCCCCCTTTCCCTCCAATAAAGCTCTAAAAACTAATATTGGGTTCTGCCGTGGCCGTGACTCTTCCACCGACCCACCAGCGCCGTTTCATCCTTTCTGTCACAGCCTTAGGTTTTTGATCTTGTGCTTCAGTTTCTCCAGATCTAAACTCCACATCACTATTGCCTAGATGTTTATGGGGTAAGCCAGCAGAAACAGATCACGAATCAAAGGTGTCAATAAACTTGGGCAAGTACTCTCTGTTTTGGCCAATTTTTCTACGGTTGTAACAAATACCCAAGACAATCAGATTATAGTGAGAAAAGGCTACTTTGTTTCAGGTCTCTGCTGCAAAGGTTCCATCACACTCTAACAAATACCCAAGACAATCAGATTATAATGAGAAAAAGTTACTTTGTTTCAGGTCACTACGGCAGAGGCTCCATCACCCACTAACACCCAAGACAATTAGATTGTCTTGAGAAAAGGTTGCTTTATTTCAGCTCACTGTTGGAGAGGCTTCTTTATATTGGGTGAGGAAGCACGTCGCAGTAGGAATGTGTTCTATCATTCTACAGGTACATCAGGAGTGCTCCCAAAATGAGGTATAGGTTCTGAGACTAAGCTCTTTAGATAGAAAGTAACAGGGGACATTTTTTGATGATCTATGGACAACAAGGGATATTGTAAGGATTCTGTCCCTAATTATGTCACCAGCCTGTGATGGCATCCCAGCCTAAAAAGCGGGCGTGCCCTCTCTTTCCTCACTCTCTCCTTCCGTATTCTCTTCCCTCCACGCAGTCTCTCTGTCTCTGTCTCTGTCTCTGTCTCTGTCTCTGTCTCTGTCTCTCTCTCTCTCTCTCTCTCTCTCTCCCTCTCTGTCCCAATAAAGCTCTAGAAAGGTAACCATGGCTTGTGATTCTTCTGCCACCGCAGCATCCATGAGTCGCAGGGGCCAGCCACGACGCTTAACCCACAGATAATCAGCAAGGCTTATTTTGATCACCACACACAGGACAAAGAAGTTGGGAATTGTTTCATATTCAGTTTGGAGCAGAAAAACACTGTGTTGGGTAGTTCAGAGGTTTTTTTTTCTAATTTTTTAAAAAATTATGTGTATGTTTGTGTATGTAAGTGCATGTACATGTGCACGCTGGTAGCTGAGGATTCTGGAAGAGGGCATCAGATCTCCTGGAGCTGGAGTTACAGGCATTTGTGGCATGTCCCATGTAGGTGCTGGGAACTGAACTTAGGTCTTCTGCAAGAATAGTATTCTCTATTCACTACTGAGCCATCTCTTTGGGCCCCTTATTCTCTTAATTTTTTTCAAATTACATATTTATTTATTTATAATTAACGAATTAATTGTGTGTGTGGAGTTCAGAAGGACAACTTGTGGGAGTTGGTTCTCTCCTTGTACCACCCGAGTCCTGAAGAGCATACTGTATCATCCAGCTTGACTGTTGGTGCCTTTACATACAGAACCACATTATTGGTCCCTTCTATTCTTAATACAAACAGAAATCAGTGGATGTTTACAGGGGATTTTATTTTAGAATTTTAATTTGAGTGCTATATCCCAAAACCATATGGCCAGAGGTTGTGATTTTGGAGTTCTTTTGTCAATAAGATATGAAAGCTTAGAGAGGATGAAAGGGTTGGAGAGAGGGTGGCATGACCTTCAAGAGCATGGGTTTTAAAGACGTGTCTACAGTACACATGGTTTTCGAATTTCTCCCATCTTTAATTCTCTCTCGTTAAACAGGAATATAGAAACACAAGGAAAATCAAATGAAATCAAAGCAACATTACATTTACATACTGCTTATCACAATACCATTTAAAATATTTAAAATGTATTTTCTTTGACAATTTCATGCATATATACAAAGTATCTTGATTATAGCCACCTTCAACTCCTGCCCCCCCCACTTCCTCCAGGCATTCCCCCAACACACCCCTCTCCTATTTGCATGTCTTGTCATTAAAAAAAAAAAGTTTCCTGTAACTCATGGAGTCTCGTTAGTGCTGCTTGCTGGAATGTTGCTTGATCATGTGCAGGGGACCGCAGCTGAGCTAGGTCATGGAATATTTGTTTAACTAGGCAGAGATGTGTTCCGTTTGCTTATGCTCCATTTGTTTAACTATGTAAAGGTGTGTTGCATTTGTGTTAATTTAGTAAAATGAATCTGGGCTCAGAGAGGTGGGGTTAGCAAGTAGTTGACAGGAAGCAATAAATAAATATTTATTTATTTATTTATATTTTTAAAGTTGTGGCGGTGTGGAAAGAGAGAGGGTTCTGGGATGCCAGCTAACAGAGAAAGTTAGACAGTTGCTACTCAAACTCTCTGAGCTTGCACATTTTCACCTTGCCTTTGAATCTCGAGTTTTCTTAGAACAATAGAGATTTAGTTAAAGCTACCTCTGTGGGCAGCAACAGAGCCATTGTCTGCAGGAACAGAATTCCCTATGGCCTGAGCAGCCTGGCTGCTAGTAGTTTAGAGAGTAGTCACTGTGAGGAAGGTAAAAAGCAGCTCTGAGTTCGAGTGCAGCCAGCGACCATGCCATGTTCTGAAGAGAGAAGTTCATGTACATCACTCCAAGGCCTCAACTTCTGCATCTTA